AAATTCATATATCTTCTTCAAAAAATATTATATATATATATATATATTTTAAATAAATATTAAATATCAAAGAAACGGCTAAATAATTAAGTATTTATTACACTTAACATTTAAACATAAAAACCCAATATTAATATTATATTGTCATTCTCATTTTTTTTAAATAAATAAATAAATATATATATATATATATACACACACGCGTGCATAATTTATATTAAGTAAATATAATAATTATTTTAATCGTTAGAAATACACCTCAAAATTGACAAATCTTTTTTTAAATTTGGGTCTACAAAAAATTAAACCTAAAACTCTGATACCAAACTGTAATGATCCAAAATTTAATTTTTAAATCGCTACCAAATTCAAACTTTAACAGTGTAAATATATGAAATTAACGGGCACAATTTAATTGAAAAAAAACTCATAACCAAATAAATATTAAAAAACATGCATATCGCATTTATTAGACAAGTAATAAAATGTTAATTCCACTAATAAAGCTTAACACAGTTTTAAATTTATAACTCAACAAAACATGTTTTAAATTTCTAAATAAAAATCTTTACGAAATAAACTACTAAGAAATTGTTGAAATTAAAAAAATGCCTTGTTACACCGGATTATTTTTATTGAGTTCCATAAATCTTGACACCACGACTCGTTCTAACATGTGAAGTAGGGGGAAAATGAGTGAGTATATGCGAATACTCAATAAGATATGAATCAATGGTGCAATCCCGAATAAAAATATTAAATTATGTGTCAAAAATATCATACTAAAATATCATATCTTTAGAAACCGGTAATAGTTCAAATATATCAGATTTTTGATACCAGATGACCATTACATATCATATCGTAGCTTTCATTAGCATAATATTCTTCAACATGAAAAATAAATTAAACGTGATAAATCACTTGCACCTCGTAATCCTACATTGTTAGGTAAAATAGTTTTTGAAAAGCAGAATTCAAAATCACGTTCCAAACTTTATTTTCTGCATGTGTCGTTGCTATCATCGGATATGTATATCTATATTTTATTTTATTTTATTTTTTAGGGTGAATAGTAAGAACTTCTGTATGATATTTAGAGTTGAAAGGGAAAAAATGAATTTTTGTAGGCGTAAAAATTGTCAATTGCAATGTTTTGCCTAAATAAAAGTCTCAATCACAATATTCTATGCAATCAACAATTAATCATTTTAAAACAAAAACTACATTATCTACCGTTTAACCTACACGTGTATACTAACCTCATAAAATTCAAAATCAAAAAATAAAACACTTCATGCACATTACACGTGGCAAATCACACTTTCATTCAAGGTTTCAATTAAATTGCAAAACTAGTTTTTCATCAATTTCTTCAAATTGAAATATCTTGGAGTTGACTTATTTGAACCGACTTTTTCTCGAGCATATTATATATCATTAACTAAGAGCTATTCAACGAGTCCAATATTGATATATTCATCATTGCTATATCAATATTTAAATATTTGACCCAAATAAAATTGAATCTAATAAATGTATAATTTTAGTCCCCCAACTTTTCCAAAATATAAAGTATAGAACATATAGAAAAAATATTATTTTTGAGGCATTACAAGCGA